AAACAATGTATACTGATATAATCTTTGAGTAGGGCAAACTGACACAACAAAAATTTTTTAAATGCAGCCCTGTGGACACAGTAATTTTACCTATAGGAATTTATATCAGAACAGTCATGTGAGTCATATACTATATGTACCATTATTTATAATTACTAAACTAGAAACAACCCAAATATCCACCAATAGGGAGGTGAAATAAATTATGGAACTACACGAAGAAATACTATGTGGCCATTTAAAATACAGCTGACCCTTGAACAACACTGGTTTGAACTGTGTTGGTCCACCTATATGCAGATTTTTTTTCTATAAATACAGTACAGTACTGTAACTGCATTTTCTCTTATGATTTTCTTAACATTTTCTTTTCTCCAGCATACTTTTTTGAAAGGATACAGTATATGATACATATAACATACAAAATATGTGTTAATTATATTATTGGTAAGGCTTCTGGTAGTTCACCTTCTGGGGAGTCAAGAGTTATATGTAGATTTTCAACTGTGTAGAGGTAGGTACCCCTAACCCCCACACTGTTCAAAGGTCAACTGTAATGAAAAACCACTATGAAAAGATATCCAATATATACTGTTAACTGATAGAGGCAACTCACATAAGAGTAGTATAGTAAGAAGTTATTTTTTAATAGAAATACATATTTACTAGGTATGTGTACACAAAAATGTCCAAGACACTATATGACAAAACATTATCAATGGTTACCTCTGGAGGGTGGGATTACAGAGGAGTGAAGCTTTCTACATTACACGTTTCCGTATTAATTTTTACCGTAAACATGCGTTACCTTTATGAGAAAAAAATAACATGAAAAATGCAGAGGAGCTTGACAGGACCAATATCAATGCCACAACAATGTATTAAGTCCTCTCAAATTTGAACTTGGATTTATCACAAGTCTTAAAACTAAGATATTAAAGGGTGGTATTTTTGATCTGTTAATTCCAGAATGTGCCTAAAATCAATTCTGTAGAGAGGATCAACAATCCCAAATTTTAAAAGTCACTGGATTTTGGAAAAGGTCATATCATCCACTGGAATCTCTCTATATTTATTGGATAAGTACCAGATAATTCATCCATTCAAGCTTACCGAAGGTGCTTTGGAGGATACACAGAAAAGTGAGTCTCTGTCCTTGCTAAGCTTAATACATAGCAAATAAGAAAAAATATAATTTAAAAGATATAAGTAGGAGAAGTATATAATATATATGTGCCTAAAGTGGACAAATTGATTTGAGATGTATTTTATCCTGGATTTCAAATCTTTACCATAATAAAAGGGAAGACATGAAGAAAACGTTCAGAATTGGCAAGACAGCTATGGACTTCCTCTTCAAATTTCATTCTTTATCCACTACCTTCTATTCTAGAGCTATCAGACAGATATCCTCATTAAATGCTTTTTCTCTGTCTTAATTGCTTCTTGCAATCAAAGGTAGGGCATGGCTGGAGGTAAGAGGTCTACTGGTAGGAGAAAGCCAAGCTGACTGGATAATCAGTAAAAATTGGGAATACTGAATCCACAGATCCCGGGCACCTGGGTGGCTCAGTTGGTTAAGCGACTGCCTTCAGCTCACGTCATGATCCTGGAGTCCCGGGATCGAGTCCAGCATCGGGCTCCTTGCTCAGCAAGGAGTCTGCTTCTCCCTCTGACCCTCCCCCCTCTCATGTGCTCTCTCGCTCTCATTCTCGCTCTCTCAAATAAATAAAATCTTAAAAAAAAAAATCCACAGATCCAAAGGGTTTCCAGTGTAGCTACTGCCAATACTGAGTATGCCAATATCTTACATTACAAGAGCAGTGTCTAGCTCCCTAGCTTCTCATTCCATGGCATTAAAAAAAAAGAGCTCAGAGTTTATCATCCTAAGGGTAAGTCTTAAACACTTTTCTTCAAAACATAACCTTAAAAAAAAAAAAAAAGAAGACAAAGAAGACAAAGAAGAAGAAATATTTGACTCACAAACCCATACGAAGTATTCATCAGGTTTAGCCCTATTATTTTTGTGATTTTATTAAACAAATACAGTCTTACCTGCAACTGGGATATCACTACGCACTCGCTTCCAAGTCATTTATAATAATGTTAAATAGGACCATTTCAGGTATCAAAACTGAAAATAGCACTATTTACAATTCTGTCCAGAAAAAAAAAATCCCTTTATTACTATTATTTTATTTTTCCTGTCTTAAAAGTCACCCCCATCATCACATAACGTGCCTTCCCTCTCCAACCAGTCAGTGATTGCAATTATATCAAAGCCTTTTAGAAAATCTACATCACTTACATTCACTTGTTCTCCTGTGGCTACATTATTACCGCTTCAAAAATTACACTTATATTAAGCATCATCTCCCCTTTAATGCTCCTCTCCCAACCCAAAATTTAAGTGTTCAATAATCTATTTCTTTATTAGAGAATCCACCTATTCTAAGGATGCACTAAACCTACCAAATAACTACCCAGTTTACCAGAAAACTGGAAGACTGGATTCAGTGTGACACATAATGAAAGTGATCAATCCTATTTTCTAAACTTCAAATCCCAGTTCAGCAACAAAGATCAACCTCCTCACCCCACACACACAGAGGAAGCTGTTGAAACTGATCACCAAATGAATATACCATACCAAAGATAGATAGATAGATAGATATATACTTACACTTCGATGGAACTGTGTAAAGGACTGAATCATGTAGAATCGATGCATGTATACTATCGCAGTGTTGATAGTCAATTGTGAACTAAAATGTTAAAGTTAAGGCCCCAAAACAGGCAGGCAGAACAATTCCCAAAAATACAACCTGTAGGGTGCCTGGGTGGCTCAGTTGGTTAAGCGACTGCCTTCGGCTCAGGTCATGATCCTGGAGTCCCGGGATCGAGTCCCACACTGGGCTCCCTGCTGAGCAGGGAGTCTGCTTCTCCCTCTGACCCTCCCCCCTCTCATGCTCGCTCTCTCATTCTCTCTCAAATAAATAAATAAAATCTTAAAAAAAAAAAATACAACCTGTATATCCTCCCAAAAGGACCATGCAGCCAAGCACAGTACATGCTTCTAAATGAAAATCATACTTAATTTTCCAAATTAAAGAGCAAATCTGTTTTCTTTCACCAAATTATTAACCACCAATTGACACGTAACATAATGCCTTACACACAACTGCTATTCAATGTGTAAATTTGCTGAACTGATAAACAAGCTTCTTAGCACGTGTGGATCGAGGAACCTAAACCTGTCACTTGCCTCCTGAAAATCCTGCAGTGGAGATCCAGTAGCTCAGGATATCTCTTCACACGACTTACAACACCCTTCCTGATCTGGCCCCCAGGTATGACTCTACTATCTCCTCACTTTCTAAGCTCCAGAAATTAACTTTTCAGTCCCACTCGTCTGTGGCAACTAAGCCTTCTCATATGGTGATCCCTGGGAGATGTGACAGTCACTCACTGACAAAATTTTAAATGCCTTACTTCTAAAGCCCTCAGAAGACAATGTGGGTTATTCAGGGAAGAGGTTGTGGTCCCAAGATGTCAACAACCTTAATAACAATACACACATTAAAAAGGGCTACATGTACTAAAACAGAATTTCAAACAAAAAGCTTAATTTAGTACTGACCCAATGCTTAGGAAACAAATTGGATATCCGCAATAAAGAGGACACCTCTTTTGAGGTGAGCACAACTTTAAGATACAACAAACATTACAGCCAGCCACACACTTAAATAGGAGCTGCACCCAGAAATAATTTTTCACTGCCAGAGTGGAAAGAACTTTAAAACTATATAAGCTTTCTCTGCTGCAACATGAGTATATTTTCTGACAAAAATACTTGAAGGGGAAAAAAAAATCACTAAATTATCTGATCTTTGAAATGTAAAGAAAACAAATACACATTAGAACTCTGAGTAAATTTAAAAATCCACAGTTTGTAAATGGTTTTTTAAAACTTTAGATCCCTGGGTCTATATCCTTACCAACAGAAACTGACATGCTTCCTTCCTCTGAAATTCTATAAAGTTTTAACAGTAGCTACCATTTGAACATGAGTGCCAGGCATTTTCTTAGGCATAGAAGTTACGTGCATGGCTTATCACTCCATTTTACAGACTAGAAAACCAAGAATTTGACAGATTTCTTAAATAGCTAGTAAGTTGAAGGAACGGATTTTGAACCATAGCTGGGGCATTAATTCTAGGCCACCCTCTCTTCATAAGTAAGACCTACAGGTCTTGAATTTCTCAAAACTCTTTACACGCTAAGTTCAAGAGACAGCCATCAACAGTGAAACCTCCACCAAACCCCCAGGCAATAGCGGAAAAGTAGAATTTCTAAGTCACCGGATCTGGAGACCAGAACACAACGAAAGGGGACTAGGAAGGGCTGGTTAAAACACAAGCTGCGAAGGATACGAATTCCCAGCAAAGCTGGTGGCACTGGCAGGCGAGCGGGAAATTAACTCCGCCTCGCTTCCGCGGCGCAAACACTGAATTTCAGCCCGCCCCATCGGAGTCTCTCCCACCTAGACATTCAGCCCCTGCCCACCCGCTTCCGTCTTCCGTCCCTGACAGAGCCTGAGGCCTGGAAGCCCGAGCATGGCGGGTCTGACTCCAAGGCCGGAGGCCTAGGCCGAAAGGATACACGTTAAGACGTTGTCCCATGTCCTGGAGCAGATTGGCCGCCTGCTGGCGATGAGAAAGTTCTTTATCTGGGTCCAGGCCAAAACGACGGGATGGGCTATTTTCCAGCTGTTCTCGAGTAAAATACCACCGTTTGTTGTTGTTCTTCCTCTCTCCCTCCATAGTGCTTCAACCAGAAGGCAGCGGCGGAGGCTGCAAGCACTTCCCAGCGTCACCTAAACGGCGACACACATCCGCTATGCGGGGGCAACTGCGACGTGACGAACTTCCGCTAAAAGGTGGAGGGCTAGATTGTGACAGGCTTCCGCAAAGAAGGGATAGTTAGAGTCTACTTCCGGAATGGACCTCGCAACAACCTGTAGCCGAGTTAACAGCCAGTAGGCGACCAGGAAAGACCTTGAGTCTAGGACGCAGGCGCCAGTCATGTGACCCTTGGGAGGGGGGGGTAGAAGTTCTCGTTCGAAACCACGCGTCCTCCCGCGAGAGCTGGGTTTAGCTTTCGCGTGGTGGACGAGGTGGCGAGGCAACTGTTGTGGCGGGGTAGGGCGCCCGCCCACGCGCCCCTCGGCGGTTTCTCGGAGAACTTCGTTTGTGGCGGAGGTGGCGATATAAAATGGGGGAGATAGCGAACTTGACAGAACAGGTGAGACTGTCAGAAACTGAAAAAAGTAATCAAAGAGAGTGGCCCTATCGTATATCGTAATATAAAGCAACTAGAAAGCTCTTACGTTGTTGGTAGCGGTGTAAACTACCCTTTTGCAAAGCCGCTTTACAGCGTTTATCTAAAGCCTTGAAAGAATTCTTACGCTTCGCCACAGTGATTCAACGTAAGGGAATGAAGTTTAATTAATAGTGTTAATTTAGTGATTACCACGTTCCAGGCACATTGTTGACTCAAATACACTATTTCATTTAAAAGGCAGAACCCCAAGAGGTAATAACGTTTCAATTCCCGTTCTGTGGACGAGCGAACTAAAACCGCTCCTTCGTTGTGGAAAGCTTCCACCTCCACCTTGCACACATAAGAATTTGTAAGTTGCTGTCCTCCACCAAGAAGTACCCCAGCTGGACGCCTGATGCCTATTTGAGCCTGGGCAAGATACCTAACCTCTCTGTGCCTCTTGTATAAATGTAAATGATAACAACAGTACCTACGTTTTAGGTTGTGAGGATTAAATAAGATATAATTAATTAAAAGCCTTTATAATAGTACCTAGCACATAGGAACATAGAAAACATTCAGTAGATGTTATCATAGTATTTATTCTGTTATATTAAAATTTGAGTTGTATGCATAGCACCTACCTAATACAGTCCTGGCCCTAGTAGTCGATAAATGTCAAATAAATGCTCACAACACCCTACAATAAAGAAACCAGGGCTTGGGGAAGTTAAGTAGTTTGCCCTACACTACACTGTTAAGTGTTGATTTTTAAATCAAGTCTAATTCCATTGTTCTTTCCATTCTAGCAAACTGTATTCCTGCTTTCCTGAAACAATTTACCTTGACTAATTGGGGTAGTATTAGAATCCTTTGTCTTTGGGGTAGTATTAGAATCCTTTGTCTTTTATAATATTTTGAGTTTTTTCATTTTAGACGTGGCTGCTCCCACTCAGTTTGATTCTAATTCTCAGAAGTATTTCCTTCCATTTCAGGCCCTCCTTTGCCATATGCTACCTATAATTAGCATTAGCTACATTTTACTCCAGAAAAATTGAGGTTCAGGAAGATTTAAATGACTTATTTCAGGTTATAACATGTAAAAAGTTTATGATTTCAAACTTCTAACATCACAGACTTGTTTCTTTTAATAGAATAAGCATTTTTTTTTCCAATTATGTAGTCATTATATTTTTTAAAAAGATTTATTTATTTGTTTGAAAGAGAGAACGAGCTGGGGGGAGGGGAAGAAGCAGACTCCCTGCTGAGCGGGAAGCCTGACCTGGGGGCTCAATCCCAGGACCCTGGGATCATGACCTGAGCCAAAGACAGACGCCTAACCAACTAAGCCACCCAGACGCCCCTGGTCCTCCACTTAAACTCTTGGATTGATGGCTCCATTTTGAATTTGCTCTCCTGGCTGAGTATACCAATTTTCCAAGAAAAAATTCTGGTATCTGTTCAGCTCTAGGCAATGCAGGTGGTAATCAATGGCTTGCTGTCCTGCCATACAGAAGACCGGGACCTGTGTAACTCAGAGAAAGGAAATATTCTTTGACTGAGAGGATAAATATTTGAAAGTAGGAGGCAGTAATAACAATTGCTAAACAAGAGTTTTGGATCAGGCCTGGACTCATCCCAGCTCTTCTTTTTTATTTTTTTAAACCCTCAACGATCCTTATGTGTACAGTTCCATAGTGTCAGCTATATTCACATTGTTATGTAACAGGTCTCCACAACTTTTTCATTTTGCAGATCTGAAACTTTATGTCCATATGCTTCATTTCCCCCTCTCCCAGCCCTGACACCTCCCAATCTACTTTGTGTTGCTATGAGTTTGACTGCTTTAGATATCTTATGTAAGTAGAATCATACAGTGTTTGTGACTGCCTTATTTCACTTAGTATAATGTCCTTAAAATTCCCAGCTCTTCTTTTAACTAGCTGTGTGATTTTTTTTTAAATATTTTATTTATTTATTTATTTATTTATTTATTTGAGAGAGAGAGAGCACCTTCAGGTAGAGAGGGAACGGCAGAAGCAGACTCTCCGCTGAGCAGGAAGCCAGACGTGGGGCTCGATTTTAGGACCCCAAGATCATGACCCAAGGTGAAGGCAGACGCTTAACTGACTGAGCCACCCAGCTGCCCTTAGCTGTGTGATCTTAAATGTCATCTCTGGATCCTGATGGGAAACCATCTGGCACACAGTAGGTGTTCAGTACATGTTTATTGTCAAAATAATGTTAACCTTCAGATAAATTGCCCTTAAAGAACAATTGACAAAACCTTAAACTAGAGGAATTTTCCTTTTTTTCTCTTCTTTTTTTAATTTAAATAGGACTCTCTTTCCTATAAAAGAAACCTATCAGGCTACTTTTCCTATTCACGGGACTAATCTTGTTCTGGATACAGGATTATACCATATTTCATGATTTGATCTTATTTTGCATTGTGCATGAATGTCATATTTCAGCCATGTCGAACATTACCATCTACTACTGTAAAAATAATTTCTTTCCAATATTTATATAGTCTCCAAATTAAAGCATGAAAAGATGGTGTGCCATTTGTAACTATTCCCAATTCCACATTCAGTTGATGTCATACTAATAGCTTGAAATTGGCCATGGTGTGGGTGTACTGGTAAATTATTAACAACTAGCTATCCAGAAAATCATTGTATGTGTATTTATACATACATAATTTCAAACATGAACTTATTGATATAAAGGATGTGTAGCACATATTTATAAAAAATATACAATCTTTATTATAAATTTCTTATAGCCACTTGATTCTCATAGAATGCTTTTGCTCAGTTTTGCCAACTTCTTGATTCAATAACCAACCTGTGATTGCATTTGACAAATGAGAATAGTTTTTTTTTTTTCAAAGATTTATTTATTTATTTGAGAGAGGGAGAACGTACAAAGGAGGAGCATACAAAGGAGGAGCAGAGGGAGAGAAAGAGGGAGAGAATCCCAAGCAGACTCCCTACTGAGCACGGAGCCCCATGCAGAGCTCGATCTCAAGACCCTGAGATCATACATGACCTGAGCCGAAATCAAGAGTCAGATGCTTAACAGACTGAGCTACCCAGGCACCCCAGCAAATGAGAATAGTTTTGACTGTTGGTTGACATTTTCATTTGCATTAATCAGTAAGATAAAAGTGAAACAATAAGGGGCCAAGCATGGAGCCTGCTTAAGATTCTGTCTCTCCCTCTCCCTCTGCCCCTCCCCCCTCCAAAAAAAAGTGAAACAATGAGACTTATGTTGGAACTTCACTTATTTGTCAGTGACTTGAGCAACATCTTTGCTGGGATGGGATAATAGTTTTTGAAAACCGAAAGAACCTTTCAATTTTTTGTGCTCTTGACAATGTAATGGGCATAGACATGGCATACTTTTAAACTTAATCTACATTATTTACATACTACCACTTTCTTAAGTCTAGTCAACAAAATAAATAAATCAAGCTTTTGTTTGCAGCATTTACCATTTCTGTAGTCTAAATTCTCCCATTATGGCCAGTTTCAAGCTACCAACGTGACATCACCTAGCATGGACTTGGGAAGAGATGAACACACCATCACGTAGTATTTCCTCCATATAGATACAATAGACAGGGGCTTCTGGTTTCCAGTCTGATATGTAAAGAGCTTGGAAGTCATTGCTCCTGTTCTTATAACAAAAAAAAAAAAAAAAAAAAAAAAACCCTGAATAAACTGAAAATCATCAACCCTTGTTAGATCGAGCAGAGAATTAAGGGGACAGGGCAAACCTCTACCACAAAAACTGGAGAGACAGGCAGAATCAGAAGAGGCAGAACAGAGACCCGTGGCTTACTGAGAGCAAAAACTACTATTGAAACCAGCAACTAATAGGAATACATAAAGGGCAATTGACTAATTGCTGGAGACTGAACTTGGCCTAGATTGAGAGACTAAAAACAAACAAACCTTTTGAGGGCCCCCACACTTTCATGAGTTTTACTTCCAGGAGCCCCATAGGTCTTAACTATAAAGATTGGAGAAAAATCCCCTTGTCCTTCTGGGAGGGAAAGGGAAAAAAGAGCTACTTAGACCCAGAGCATTCAGTTGTCCTTAACAAAAGCCTGTCCTCAATGGAAGCTACTTAACAGAGCCTAACCAATGTAGGAAAAGGAAAATAACCAACTCCAGCATTTGTGAGGGCCACAGTCTGGAGGGGACACAAGCTCACTAAAAAACAGACCTGATATGATTATAAAGCACTTTCCTCACCTGCCCCCCTTACCAACACATCAGTAGATCTCCTATATAATAACAGGGGATTACAACAGAAAGAACTACAAACTCAGACCCATTTAAGAAGGAGTGTGTAAGGAAACCCAAAGACAACAGGGGAGACAAAGACGTCAGAGGAGATTTTAGCCTCTGATACCTACAGCCATAGCAAACAGGAAATAGCAACCAAACTCCCAAACAGATAAACGTAAAACATCCATTCCTTTTACCCAATATATCATGTCTAGCTTCCTGCAAAAAAAAATTATAAGGCATGCTAAAAGGCAAAAAATAGAGTCTCAAGAGACAAAGCAAGTATCAGAACCAGAGTCATAATATGGCAGAAATTTTTGAATTGTCAAACTGGGAATTTAACTGATTAATATGCTAAGGACTCTAATGGGAAAAGTGGGCAACATGCAAGAATAGATGAGTAACGAAGCAGGGAGATGAAAACTAAGAATCAAAAGGAAATGTTAGAAATAAAAAACCTGTAACGGGTGCCTGGCTGCCTCAGTCAGTAGAACATGCGACTCGATCTTGGAGTCGTGAGTTCAAGCCTCAGGTTGGGCCTAGAGCTTACTTTAAAAAAAAAAACAACAAAACCCACTTTGAAGGAAATGAATGCCTTTGATGGGCTTATCAATACACTGGACACAACCAAGGAAAGAATCAGTGAGTTTGAAGATACATTAATAGAAACTTCCCAAACTG